AGCTTCTCACCCTATCTCTAAGGGAGAGCCCAGCCACCCTGCGGAGGAAACTCATTTCGGCCGCTTGTATCCGCGATCTCGTTCTTTCGGTCACTACCCAAAGCTCGTGACCATAGACGAAGGTGGGAACGTAGATCGACCAATAAATTGAGAGCTTCGCCTTTAGGCTCAGCTCTCTCTTCATCACGACAGACCGGTACAGCGCCCGCATTACTGCAGACGCCGCACCGATCCGCCTATCGATCTCACGCTCCCTACCCCCGTTCGCGAACAAGACCCCGAGGTACTTGAACTCCTCCACTTGGGGAAGGACGTCCGCTCCGACCCGGAGAAGGCACTCTACCCTTTTCCGGTGAGAGACCATGGCCTCGGACTTGGAGGCACTGATCCTCATCCCAGCCGCTTCGCACTCGGCTGCGAACCGCTCCAGCGAGAGCTGTAGGTCCCGACTTGATGGAGCCAACAGGACCACATCATCTGCAAAAAGCAAAGATGCGATCCTTAGGCCACCAAGACTGACACCCTCAACACCTCGGCTGCGCCTAGAAATCCTGTCCATAAAAGTTATGAACAGGACCGGAGACATAGGGCAACCTTGGCGGAGTCCGACTTACTACCGGCAATGCGAACCAGACTCTGACTCCGGTCGTACAGGGACCGAACAGCCCGTAACAAAGGGCCAGGTACCCCATACTCCCGGAGCACCCCCCACAGGATACCCCGAGGGACACGGTCGAACGCCTTCTCCAAGTCCACAAAACACATGTGGACTGGTTGAGCGAACTCCCATGCACCCTCTAGGACCCCGCTGAGGGTATAGAGCTGGTCCAGCGTTCCACGGCCAGGACGAAAACCACCCTGCTCCTCCTCGATCCGAGGCTCGACTATCCGACGGACCCTCCTCTCCAGAACCGCTGAATAGACCTTCCCAGGGAGGCTTAAGAGTGTGATCCCCCTGTAGTTGGAACACACCCTTCGGTCCCCCTTTTTAAATAGGGGGACCACCACCCTAGTCTGCCAATCCAGCGCGACTGCCCCTGATGTCCACGCGCTGTTGCAGAGTCGCGTTAGCCAACGCAGCCCCACAACATCCAAAGCCTTGAGGAACTCCGGCCGAATCTCATCCACCCCCGGGGCCTTGCCACCGCGGAGCTTTTTGACTGCCTCGGTGACTTCAGCCCCGGAGATTAGAGATTCCAGCTCCGGATCCCCAGGCTCTGCCCCTCCAATGGAGGACGCGCCAGTGGGATTGAGGAGATCCTCGAAGTACTCCGCCCACCGACCCACAACGTCACGTGTTGAGGTCAACAGCACACCACCCCCACTGTAAACAGTGTTGGTGGGGCACTGCTTCCCCCCCCTGAGACGCCGGATGGTGGACCAGAATCGCCTCGAGGCCGTACGGAAGTCTTTTTCCATGGCCTCCCCAAACTCCTCCCACGCCCGGGTTTTTGCCTCGGCGACCACCCGAGCCGCACGTCGCTTGGACTGCCGATACCCATCGGCTGCCTCCGGAGTCCCACAGGCCAAAAAGGCCCGATAGGACTCTTTCTTCAGCCTGACGGCATCCCTCACCGCCGGGTTCGAGGGTTGCCGCCACGACAGGCACCGACCGCCCTGCGACCGCAGCTCCGGGAGGCCGCGTCATTGATGGAGGCGCGGAACACGGCCCACTCGGACTCAATGTCCCCCGCCTCCCCCGGAACGTGTTCGAAGCTCTCCCGGAGGTGGGAGTTAAAGCTCCGCCTAACAGGGGACTCCGCCAGGCTACCCAGCAGACCCTCACAACACGTTTGGGCCTCCCGGGTCTCACCGGCATCCTCCCCCGCCATCGGAGCCAACTCACCACCAGGTAGTGGTCGGTGGAAAGCTCCGCCCCCCTCTTGACCCGAGTGTCCAAAACATGCGGCCGCAGATCAGCTGAAACGACAACGAAGTCGATCATTGAGCTGCGGCCTAGAGTGTCCTGGTGCCAGGTGCACAAATGGACACTCTTATGTTTGAACATGGTGTTCGTTATGGACAATCCGTGCCGAGCACAGAAGTCCAAAATCAGAACACCACTCGGGTTCAAGCTGGGGGGGCCATTCCTCCTGACCACGCCTCTCCAGGTCTCACTGTCGTTGCCCACGTGAGCGTTGAAGTCCCCTAGCAAAACGAGGGAGTCCCCAGAGGGGGCACCCTCCAGTACCCCCTCTAAGGACTCCAAAAAGGGTGGGTACTCTGTGCTGCCGCTAGGCGCATAGGCACAAACGACAGTCAGGACCCGTCCCCCCACCCGCAGGCGAAGGGATGCTACCCTCTCGCTCAGCCAGAGCTGTGTGTCGATGCGAGACCGACGATGTCCAGCCGGAATCTCTCCGCCTCGCACACTAACTCAGGCTCCTTCCCCGCCAGAGAGGTGACGTTCCACGTCCCTAGAGCCAGCTTCTGCAGCCGGGGATCAGTCCGCCAAGATCCCCGACTCCGGCCGCCACCCAGGGCACACTGCACCCGACCCCTGAGGCCCCTCCCACGGGTGGTGGGCCCGTGCGAAGGGGGACCCATGTAACCTCTTCGGGCTGGGCCCGGCCGGGTCCCATGGGTGAAAGCCCGGCCACCAGGCCACAAACAAACAATGTAATCAAATGTACAATTCCCACAGAATAAGGAAGTCCATTACGCAAAGAAAGCAGATTGTTTTAGAATAGCATACAGAGTATGATCACCAGTACTACACCCCTCAAGTCCACATTTTTAAATGTTCTATAGAAGGGACCCAAAATGTTAAGTTTCCCTCCTTTTCCATAGGTTGATTTGTGTACATTTTATTTGTCCAGTGGATGAATTTTGGTTTACTGGCACTCATTCATGAGAGTGATGTGACTATTGGAAATTATTAAACACATAACCACGGCAGTAATAATTTTTCTGGATATATGACGTCTATTAGGATGTAGACATGGATAGAACAGTTTAGGGTCCAAGCACTAATTTCATACCTAGTATGGTCTCTAAAGTTTCCCTCCAGAATAGTTCCCTTCTCCTCTCCAATTTGGGATGGCAACACTATACTTATCAAGCTTTTCAGGTGTCACATATGTGCTTATTCGCCAGTTATATTGCAGTATTTTGATGAATAAACGTGCCTCTTTCCAGTCATCAGAGGGCAATTCTGCTGTAAATCTTCCCTCCAAGACTAAAAGGGTCCATCTGCTAACATGCTATATAGTTTGGAGCCAATTAATTTTCCAAAGCACTCACTCTTCATTTTGATTATAGATTTTTAAAATAATGTTTCTTTGGGATGTCATACCTGATGATCAGCTCTTAAGATGACATGAAAAACCCATCCTGCCCATTTCCCAGAATCAGGATCTGCCCTGCCACGAGGGAAAAAATGGTTACCCCATACTTGACTGAAGTGTGACAAAGAGGATTCGCTTCAATATTTCTTCCCTTTATATAATTAGAAAGATGCATTACTTATATCCCTATACTGTGGTGCAAATAAATATTTATTCAGCCACTGATTGTGCCAGTTCTCCTACTTGGAAAGATGAGAGATCTGTAATCCTCATCATAGGTACACTTCAGCTATGGGAGGTTAAATGAGAAGAAAACAAATCAAGGATATCACATTGTAGGATTTTTATAGAACTTATTTGTAAATTCTGGTGGAAAATAAGTATTTGGTTACCCACAAGCCTCAAGACTTTGTGTCTCTTACAGACCTTTAAGTTCTCCTTTAAGAAGCTCTTCGTCCTCCACTCGTTACCTGTATTAATGACACCTGTTTGAGCTTGTTACCTTTATTAATGGCACCTGTGTGAGCTCGTTACCTGTTTTAATGGCACCTGTGTGAGCTCGTTACTTGTATTAATGGCACCTGTCCATAGTGTCAAACAGCCAGACTTAAACTCAGACATGGCCCAGACCAGACAGCTCTTTCTAATAAGGAGAACTTGAACAGCAACTGACTAAAGACTTTTTTTTTGCCCCTCAG